TGCAATAAACAGTGAGGTTTTGTACCAGTGATTGAATCTGGCCTGGTATTGGAAAGGGGAGGGCTATAAAGGCTTTAGAGCATAATGTAGCAATGTGCTGTGTGCCTCACATAGCGTAACTGTAATATATTAAGGTTATTTGTGGATAGAAGTGTCTTTGCAGTTGGTATGATATCTGTGAAACACAAGCCAATCTTCCTGTTGATTTACTAAGAAGAGTTTTATTGTAATGGTTGATTTAGTAAAAAAAGTTTTATTGTGGTGGCGTTTTTATCTAAAGTGCTTAGAGTATTGACATAATTACAGTGAAGTTCTGCAAAACTTGGAATATTTTGCACTTAACGTGGCCGTTAAGGCTTGTACAGCATTCAAGACATACAAAGTGAATCTCATTCATTATGTTGACACTTGTATTTGAGTTTGAAGATCTCAGATATGTAAAACGTTGTAGCAGTAGTAGGCTGCCTGTTGGAAGGTCTGTGACCAGACCTGGTCACTAGAGCAGGGAGCATTGCTGGGAGCCTGGGGTGTTCATAGCTTGTCTGTAAAGAACCGCACCCGTTCCTGTGGGGTTTTGGCCAGAGTACTTGCTTGTTTTGTGTGTTTTTTGGCACATCACTGCTTTTACACCCACTCCTTCTTGGTTCTGCAGCCCCTGTGGCATCGCTGTGCAGAACCCAGGGGTGCCACTTTGCTTGCTGGGTTGCCCAGAGACTCTGGCGTGCTTCCCTTCAGCAGCCGTACGATCTTCAGCATCAGAGCACTCATATTGACTGAAAAAGAAGCTACAGACTGACAGCGTTATGATACAATGCGATTAAATACCTTGCTGTAAGGCAAGAGAACACCAAATGGTATAGGACTCTTCTCCAGTTCACTTGTCAAATAGTTGTTAGAAATTTCACTTGGTCATTGAAGAAGACTGAAGTGTGTTTTTACTCTTGGGCTTTCAGCTTTTTTCAACTAGAGGTAATCACTGAAATAATGAAGCAATACATGGGAGTGTAGAGCTTAAACTGGAAGTTGGAGGTAAGTCTACTGTTTAGATTTTTTTCAAGACCCACTTTATAGTATTCACACATCTTAAATTGACAGGATACTGTTCTATCCATGATAGTATCATGTGAAGGGAGTTATTTGTTAATACCTAGCAAAGATTTTGAGCATGGGATTGGTAGGTAATTTAGTTTTAAAGAAATTTCATCTTGTTAAATGTGAAAAGAATTTGATTGTTGTTTCCGTTGGTAAACCTTTACCTATTTTTTAGTGTTCTTATTTTTATTAAACATTAGTACCCCCCCACACCTTTTTTTTTTTTTTTTTGGAGAAAAGACAACACTTTCCTTGTGTAAAGCAGCACATAATTCCCCTTTGTTCCTTTTTAATGAGAGATTGCTTTCTGTTTTCATTGGGTTCGCTTGCATTCATGATTATTCACTATGGAAAAGTCTGGGAAAATAACTGGACTTTCAGGCAAAGCATTGAGAGGAACTGACACAAATCACTGCACCTGGAAAATAAAGTGTGTCAGGTTTTTTTTTTTTGATAGTTTTACTTACTCTGTTTCTCTTTTACAAATATGAGAGTTTAAAAAGCAGTCATAAAGTTCATTGTAAGTGTTGACTGGCAAAATACACTAAAAGGGAACAAATGTCTAATTTATACTTGAGGTTAGAAAGAATATAGATCTGCTGTAACTGGTATGGACTTTTTTAGTCACAGAATGTGTTTAGGTTTACAGTGTAATTCTTGCTGATCCTGACTAATGACTGTTTCGGGGATTATCTCTTCTGGAGTTAGCCATCTGCTGTGGTTAAAGTAATTAACTAAACATAAAATTAAGGGTTGACTTAGTTTGAAAGCAAGAGTATGTATGTCTCTAGGAGAAGAATATAATTTCTTCAGTTCAAAATCATTCAGAAATATCAATATTCCAGTTTTCTATTAATGACATTAAACAAGGAGCTGAATTAAAGGTTGAAACCCCTCCAAAAACACTGCCCAACCCTCTGCAAACTGAAACAGAACGAGAGGGGAGAGGGGGAGGAAGGAGGGGAGCCTTAAAAGGGCAGTTTATTACTCTTCTCTCAGTTCTTATTTGATGCTATATTACCAGTTCAAACAGATGGCTTCCGTTGGTTAAAAGCTTGCAAGCGTAGCTAAATTTACATTTCTGTATTAAAAAAAGTATTGATTTACCAGGATATCTTCCCATTTGTGACATAAATGCAGATTGCTTATAGGTGGTTCTTAACTGTGCTTATTTATAAAATACATTAGATGGTAAAGACTTTAATGCTATATTATTACACACAGCACGACACCAATTTTTTTTTTTAGAAATTGGAGAGTTCTGGATGTTTTTGTCAGGAAACATAAGTAAAATACCGATTTTCAATCTTGAGTTTTGAATGCAGTGCATTAAAGCTTAGAAATACCTTCCCTTTTGCAGGCGATTTACTGTAATAATACCATTATGATGTGTTTCTAATTTCCCTTATGCCGTCTGTCTATACAGTAAATTCACTGTGGCCATGCGTACAACAGTGAATACCAAAATGCAACAAAGCCATAGGTGCAAGGACTGCCTGTTGGCCTCACCTAAGTTCAATCATTCATAGTGTCTAAAATGTACTTTGTTATATTCATTTATGTCTGTCTACTGATCTCTATATATTAAAGATTTTTTGTAGCATGAAATAATGCATCTGTTTGCAATGCTACAGACTTAAATCTGTAGATACAGACTTAAATCATAATCCCTTATGAAAGGGATTTCTAACAATTGTTATCCTTAGGAATAATTGTAAAATTTAATGAACATAATATAACATTTGAACTCTACAGTACATACAGTATTTTTTGGTGGCCTGCTTCCACTGAGTAGCAGTTTAGCTGAATTATGTTCACAGATTACTAAAACTCAATGAAGTATTTTTAACTGTGGACAGAAAATGTTTAATTGGAGAAAAGTATGGATTTAGGAGTCTTGAATTAAAAATGTAAAATGTTTAATAATATTTTGCCTTGATGAAGTCTCTGAAGTAAAACAGTTTTTGTGATTGCTACTGTTGTTCTGAAAGAAAAGTTGATAGCCCTCAATTCAATATAGTAATAGATACATTGATATGGTACAAAAAAGTAAGTAGTTGATTTTTCTGTATTTGCAGAAAAAAATAGTTTTCTTCTGCATGCATGAAAATCATGTGTGATAAATTGGACTGTAAAGAATAAAAGCTATGAAGTCTTTCAATGCTTTTTTCTGCAGAGTGGTTGGTTGCAGTTTGTGTGAAGGGTAGGCAGTTCTGTATGATATTCTACAGTTCCCTTGTTAGCAGAATTTTCACTTTGGGGAACTGGTATCTTTTCTTCTGCTAGCTAGGAAGTCTAGAGACTTTATCCGCTACATAGAAATTGCCATGTATAAAAATTATTAGTTAAAAGGAATTAATGGTTTAGTTGGCATAGTGTATGTTCCAGATATGTTGTGTGTTTCTTCATGACTTTCGCTTTTGTATTTTCTTTGGCTTTTTAAGATTAATTTTTACTGACTGAGAGGATACAAGGATGCTGCATCTTTCTGGAGAACTAGATAACAGCTTTTATAGGCTGGCTTTCCAAATGAGTGTTTGGGAAGTCTGTTTAACATTGAATCAGAATTTCTGTTTTACACATCAGTTTTCAAATTGATTAAAATAGAATTTGGAAAAGCGTCTCTCTTGTGTACTTGGCATTCTTTTTTACAGAGACTGGGAGTGATGTTTTACAGCAGCTGTTTGACTTACATGTAGTACTGGGCCTCGTCACGTTGCCCGAAAAAGGGTACTGCCTCTGCAGCTGAACGAGACTCTAGGACCGGAACCAGTTTCTCAGGAGTTTCCCTGTTAGGAGTTGACTGCGCTTAGTCTCCTTGCTTTTGTAATAATAAATGGACTCTGAAAAGATTTCTCCCCACCTTATTTATACTCTGACCCTGACGCACCATCAGCTGCAGTTCTGGCAGATTGAGTCAGATCAGTCTTTTGACTCTGCTACTGCTGTGCTTAGACATCATTTGCTTGGCCACAGTTTTTAAGGATTTGAGAAACAACTTCTGAACAAGTGGTATTTTTAATGATAATTTTACGGTGTGATTTTCTTAAAATATACGTGCTTGTTCAGTGACACGAAAGTTTTCGTTTAGGCAATTCGTGGCACAAATAAGAATGACTTAATTTATATGAAAAGCTCACCAGGAAAAAGAAAAAAGCCAGCAACTTACAGGAGTTCTTCTATTTATACTATCTACCAATAATTGCTGGGTCTTCCCCTAAATTGAGCGACTAGATATGGACCTTTTGGCATGCATTACAGGTTCCTTAAAGCTGGGATCTGTCAGGGAGCAGCAGGAACAGGGCTGCTCTGCCAGGAGGGACAAGCTGGCGGTCCAGGATGACACAGGCAGTGCTTTTCCGGACCCTGGCACAGTCCCACAGGATCTGAACCCTGTGCTGGTCACAGGGTCCAGGTGAAAGAAAGGAGTCTGTTGGGCCCAGGGTCCGTCCGTCTGATCATCAGCAGCAGAAGGTAGGGGCTGATGCTGGCCCAAAGGGAGGCTATAACATGAGACATGGGATCTAGCCAGCAGGCATGGGTGCGGACCAAGCTGCAGAGCTGTGACCTGACTCAGGCAAGGGCTGAAGGTGCCTGCCTGAGGCCAGATGGAGCTCCTGAGCAGAGGGTGTGGGTGGTGGTCCCAGGCGAGGCTGTTGGCATCCAGATCGAAATGTGATGTCGCTCTCAACAGCACTACCCAGTTCCCTTACTGTTGCCGTTGTGCTGGGTCCCCCTGATGACTGAGTGCTGTTCATGTGACGTACCTCTGCTGTGAAGGTCTTGTAGGAGCCACTCAAGAATTGAGTGCGGATCCTGGAACATGGTCAGCACAGACACTTCTGTAGTTCCCTTGTGATCTCATTTGCTGCCATAGAGGACAGATGTTTATCTTCCCTCTTACAGATATGGAGTCTGGAGAGCGGTTAACGTCGTCGTCAGTCTCCTCTACTGCTGCTGCTTCGACTCCAGTGTCTTCTACACCATCTGTAGCTTCAGCAATATCGAAAGGTGGCCTTCCCGCTGGAGCTGCATCACTGAGTTCCACGATCAACACATGTGGTAAAAATTACTTAATTATATATTGCAATGTGATTTTAGTGTTTGTCAACACGGGTAATTATTACTACAGGTCAAATAATAAGGTTGCACAGATGCATTGAAGAAAAAGAGGGGGTTTTTTGCTAAGCAAAATTTATATCATGTGAATGCATTTTACATAGTGCTTGTTTATTGAAGGAATGAAATTGATTTAAAATTGCCGATTTCAAATGTGAAAGAAATTTTCAGTTTGCAAAGCTGCCTTGGAAGCAAGGGTCAAATTAAGGATTGATGTAGCAAATATTGTGCCACTTTCAAATTAAGATCTGATAACTAGCTTCTTGGATATACATTGTGTTCCCAGCATTCAAGCTCAATCCATATTGTATTTTTATATCTGGAGGAATAGTGTCTCCTAAGGGAACTTGAGATTGAAAAGGTGAATTTCAAAATGTCATAGTCTTAGATAGTCTTGACTAGTGAAGCATCTTGGCTTGAATCACAAAGTTATATGGAAGATTTCTCCATGCAAGAATCTCATTTTTATGAATGAAACTTGTATTTCAACTGAATAATGCGTATGTCATCAACAGAAGAAGAAATAGTGAATAACTTTTCCTTGCCGTTCTGTCTTCAGTTTGGAGAACAGATCATATACTTCTTTTTTGTAGACCTGAGTACTACTGATTCTTATATACAGCAAATAGGAAGTTTTTCAGCTTAAATTCATGGTAATCCACTACTTCACAACAAACTTGGTTCTTGCAGTGGAGTGAGGAAGTGTGTATTCTCCAAATTGGAAAACTCTTCTGCCCTGATACTGTACAACCGGTAGATTGAGTGCCCTACTACAGCGTGCATTGGTTCATTTGCAGCTTCCTTGAGAAGAAAAATAGAAACCAGGATGTCTGCATACCTAGAATTATGTCTCAATTGTTTATTTTAATTACGCTAAAATCAACCAGAAAAGTTCTTAACTAAAACTAATCTGGAACAAATAACAGTGTGTTTTATTTTTCAGTACCCCACTACAAAGTCAACTCCAAAAGACTTCTGTGTCTTTCGTTCATTAGCCTGTGCCATTTGAAGTGGTTCTCTGTGATGGTTCCCAGAATGTAGTAGGAGTTCATTTACATACGGCTATAAATGTGCAGTCCCAAACTGAGGATTTATGTGACTCGTTTACTTCTCCTTGCTGCTTTTGCTTTACAGATATATAGGTTATATATTTGGTCTGTCTGTAGTAAGCAGATGAATAATGTAATAAAGATACTAAACTGTAAGTGTCTGTCTTCCTTAGAGTCCAGGTAGTCCTTTTCTTAAGTAGGTTTTAAAATTTTGTTCTCAACTTTTATTTAAAAAAAAAAAAAAAAAGTTTCTGTCTGATAGCTGATAGGTTCAAAGACTGGTAGTAGTTCCCAGTATTCACGGATTGTTTCCTTTTAGGTTTTTTTTTTTAATGGCCATATCCTTTGCCCAGCTGCAACTGATCTTTAAGAATGTGTATATTTTCTCAAGGACACTTTGTATTCCTAAAACCAGGCTGGAATATAGTTTACTATTATTACTGTCCTATCAGTTATATTTATGAGTATATCCATTTCTCTACCTGACACAGTACACTATGGTTACTGTGACATCCACTCTGTAAAGGTATACACTGTCCTAGAGAAACTTCACAGAAGTGTTCATCCTGTCAACCAGACAAAGACTGTTTTCCCATGAATGACCTATGGCTGGAATGGCAATTCCATAGAGTCAAAACTTTCTTGAATTTTCAAGATATGCTGTAGTCAAGATTGACTAGTATCCTACCCTGTCCCTGAACTGAGATGTTACTCACTTCTGTGATATTTAAAAAAAAGTTATGACAATGTCTCAACCTGATAATTAAATTATCATCACGTTTAAGAATACATTGCTCTACTATCTATAAAATAATTGTTTAAGAATGATCAATTATTCTTACTAAGAAAAGGTAAAGGCATCTTAATCTATGCGTTAAATTAGAGAGGTTCTTTTCATTCCAATTAATCTATTTATTTTCTTTGAAGCAATCAATAGTCTGTTAAGTAGTCTCCACAATAAACTTGATTGCGTACCCTGTCAGGTCTCCGCGATGCATGGTGAGTTAGGACTGGGAGTCTTTATGATTTGCCAGGGAGATTACACTAGAAATAAATTATTTTGGCATATTCCCAGGTCAAATAGACAAAGCACCTGTGTGAAACCGTTATGGAACATATCACATACTGTTAGTTTAATTGGTTAATACAGCACTAGTTCCTGAATAAATGAAGCATTCCAGTCAAATAAACAGATACTTTACTTGCTTTCTTCTTAATTACCCTTTGTTGAAAATAAGAAGGTGCTTTGGAAAAGAAAACTGACTCTGGAAAGAGGTTTAAATTCATCCTGATGACAACATTAGCAACTTTGGAAGAATATAAATTAACAGCCTTCTCTCACATGACTAAATGATATCACAATTCAGTGTTTTGTCTTTATGAGGGGCATTAATACCAGCATGTGAAACTGTTCAAAGCTAAACAATTAAGTCTTGCTCTTTTGATATTATCAGACCTGAAGGGTTCTTTATTTTTAATTTTCAAGAAAGGATGTTCATTAACTTTTTATTAAAAAAAAGAAAAAGAAAAAGAAAAAAAAATTTTCTCCAAACCAGAAGCTGCTTATATCGAAGCAAAAATCTTTAGTCTTTTTTGGAGTACACTATTTATCCTTAAATGAGACCCAGAAGAATTTTTTAATTGTGGACATAAATGCACAAAGTCACAGAATTGTTTTAATTGGAAAAGTCTTTCTTTAATTTTCTACTTGATTTTTATGATTTCTAGTAACAATGACTTTTTTTTTTAACACCAGCTTTTTTTTTTTTGTCTCAGTCTTTGTATAAAAATTACAGTGTGGCTCCTGAAATAAATGTTGAGAAAGATGAGGTTTAGTGCCTAAAATGTAAAACCATATAAACAAATTCCTTTTGTGGTGTTTTTTATAGTCCTTGGTTCTGTCAAAAGTTTCATCTGGGGCTTGTAGGTATTTCTTGACTTCTTGAGATTTTAAGGATTCTGAATGCCAAGTAACAGTAGCAAAATTGAAATGGATATGTAAAAACAGCGGTGATTCACAGTTTGTGGAGTGTACAACAGTTTCAAATTTTGAGGGAGAATGTGATGGTAATAGTTAAAGCGATGCAGATGCTTGAAGTACAAGGATGTGAACAGTAGTAGAGTACAATTTCCAGTTCTGATACTAATGGTGTGCCCGTAGTGTTATACAGTCGACATCACAAGTTCCCAAGTTTTGGAAATCAATGTTAAGAAGGTGAGAAAATTTCAATTTTAGTGTCTTATATACGTATCGTTAAGAAGCAGACTGTAGTTTTGTTATTGTCAATAATTCTTTCAACACGATACCAGCCTTGTTTAGGCTTCCTGTGTTTTAAAATTCTATCTCATCTGATACTTGCTATAAGGACTACACAGATGAGTGAACAATTTTGAGTATTGTTTGGACATGGAATTTTACCTTTGTCAGGAAAGGACTTAGTAGAAACATCATTGAAAGAAAAACAATTTCATCCATTGCTTTTTGGATGTTGAAGATTAAATGAAACCATTGTATTCGAGCACCTAAATAATATCATTGAAAACCACATCAAGCACCTCGTAGTTCTCATGTTAAAGCAAGCATCATTGAGAGTTGCCATGTGATTGATACTGTTTAAAATATGGCTTTGTAGGTCTGTGCTCTGTGTATGTTCCTTGTATTCTTACTCAGCAATTGTGCCTAAGTTGTGTATCAGCTTCTCAGTAGAGTTCAATCCCTTTTGAAATTTATGTATTTTTTTAGAAAATTAGTCCACTATTAGCTTCTTTTAACCTATGATTCAGGAAGGAAAGTTAAAGATATGAGAGTCCTTGCAATTGCATTCATGTTTGTTACCTGTGCACTTGCTTCTGTGAGACCATATTCAGAGTTTATTAAAATGCTATGTTTTTTTTAAATGCTTTAATGAGGTAGCCAGTGCTTTGCTCTCAATTTAGATTAACAGATATTTTTGACGTTTCTCTGTTCAGATGAGGGGTTTTGTTTTTTAAACCAATGATAAGAGTGGATGACTGTTACTTATGTATATATAAACAATTTCTAGCCTTTTCTGTGCTTTCCAGCTTTTTACATTGAGGAACATTCACCAGTACCATGAGTCATGCTTACAAGTAGTTTGGAATCAGGCATATAAGGAGTTTGGAAGACTGGTGTTGGGAGCCATGTAGAAGGCAAACTTTCCTAGCGCTGTAATGATTAAAGAACAACACAGAAAGGAGGAAAATACACAGTAATTTCTGTCACCCTAAGAGTTCTCTAGATTTGCTGTGTGAGTTGAAATGCCCTTAGCATTGTTAGAAATACCACATTATTTTTGTATTTCTGCTGGTTGAGGCATTGATGCTTTGTATTTTAAGGCATTATTTAAGTATTTATTCCTTTTCAGCTCTTTTGAAAACCCTATATTGCACCGTGAAGTTCATTAATATTAACAAAGGCCTTCACAGTTGCCGTTCCTTGTTACTAAGAGACCAGCATTGCTGAAATGTATGTTGCCCTTTGGAGTAATGCTTTCAATCATTTATCTGTGTAGTGGCTAGTAGAATTTCAAAAGCTGTGCTCAAAAATATTTAACCTGTTTGAAGTAAGTCAAGAATGTTAAGGAGTACACTTTAATATGATTGATTGAAGGCCAGGACAATTTTGATGGGAAGAAACGTATTGGCTGAGTTCCTCAGCAGTAGTGTTTTCACAGTAGTCTTGTAAGAAACAAAGTAGTGCTTGAGATCCTTTCTATTCTTTCCATCACAAGGTAACATCCTTCTTCGTTAAGTGGGTGTGTTGATTGCAAAACCACAGTTCTTGAAAGAACTCAGCTGGTAATAAGGTGGACTTGTTTTCCCTCATAAATGTGCTTTTTTGTCTGTTAGACCTCATAGGGGAAGTTCTATCCAAACTTGGTCAAGGAAATTTCATTTGACTTTTTGTGAGCTCAATGATTTTTTTTTTCTTTCTCCATTTTCCCCCAGTTTACATCTATACTGTGCTGTGACAGGGAAATAAGTGTAACTCTGGAAAGTGGGGTGGCCTGACCCTATAAGCATCAGTGTGGAACTGTATCTGAACTGCTCCTAATAAAAGATATGTCATCTTAGTTTGAATGCAGTTCTTCCTCGATGTGAGTGTTCTTCTCTTGTGGTGCTGTAGCTCAGTGGACAATGCTGTATTGCAAAATACACCTTAGGTAAACAGATGTTTTTTTTCTCAAAAAGCAAATAGTAGATTGTAGAAAGCCGGAGGAATTTAAAAACGTTGTACTATTACAGACATATCATTTGTCTGTAATAGGATTGTCCAGCATGATCTTAATTCTTACTTTATTTTATTCATAATTAAAGGAAGTTTTTTTGGTGGTGTCTTGTAAAGTCAGTAGTCTCCTGTCCTTTAAAATGCCAACATATTGCACAAGAGAGATAAATACAGAATGGTGCATCTGACTTCCACCGTTGTCAGTTACTCAGCCGGTGTTTTCCAGTCTTGCATTCTGTCAATCTTGCATCTGAGAACAAAGCTTTCTAAAGTAAGTTAAATACTGTAAGGCATTCTCCAAAGCATGCAGTAAGTCAAGATGCTTCTTAATTCACTTTTTCTGTAGTTTGAAGAAAAGGTATTCCTGCCAGAAAGTGAATATCTTGGAGACCTCCCCTTTCCTTGGCTGGCCAGGCCCTGCATGTCCCCTTCCCCCCTGGCAGAATTTAGGATTGTGAGGTCCCACCACCAGTAGAGTTTTAGGAGTGCAGGATCAGGTACTGGTAAAAAACTTCAGCAAATATTGCAAAGAGATCTTTATTTGATATAAATAGAGAATTTTGTTGTAGTTACTAATGCCAGAGGAGTAAAAGCAGAGCTTTGATTACTGGGAGGATAATGAAATACTATAAACACACCTACGTAAAGAAGAAATGCATGACACTGAAAGAAATGCGTGTAGAGGTGGTGTAAGGAAGGGTAGAATACTTCAAAAAGCAGTGAATACCGATTCGTTTGTAATGTTCTTACTGAGTGGTTGTTTTTTGGGATGTTGTTTTTTTTTTTTATTATATGAAAAGATTCATTCAGTTGTAAGAGCCATCTGATGCGTGTTAGCGCAGCATGGTTAACGTGTACTTGCTTTAAGCATTGCTGTAAGGGGTGGTAGTTGTCCATGGTTTCCATTGACATTGTTCCAATTTGCAGGAGAAACTTCCTTTCACTGAGAATATTTTATTTTTGCTGAAGTAGGAATGAAAGAGCTCTGCATCTGACCTTAGACAATTTTCTGACCTTCTGAGGGGTTCTTAAAAGTTGCAACTAAAAATTGAGACACTCATGTCTGTAAAGATAGGATTTTGGTATTCGTGTATCTGGGTAAGTAAGCATGGTGGGGGGTGGGGGGGGGGGGGGTTCTTAAAATTTTGGTTTTGCTGACTCACTGAAGGGCAGTATTTTCCATAGATCTCGATAATATGATAAATAGCTTGAAAGTTATCTTAAGCAGTCTAGCTGTATGTAGTTGTTACAATCTTGCTTAAGCCTTTGTATGGCACATTTGTCCTTAATTTAGTAGCAATTTGTCTGCATGTGTACTGGTTTACATATATTGGCCAGTGGCTGTTGTTCATACACTTCTTGGTTAGTACATTCCAAGGCAATGGTTCTGTAACTTTGTGGGACCACTCAGAATACATACAAAATTACTGGGTATCACTATGCTCAAATTCCAAATTTAAGATAATAGAATAACGTGACGTTTTTTGCAGATCTATTACAGTCTGCTTATCATACCACAGTGAAAGTTTTTGAATTGTTGCTGTATTGTCCAGTCTTCTGTTTTCATCGCTGGTCTTCTAGCAATGTAGAATCTTTCATTTATAACATTTTAAAATCACTGATGATGATACTGAAATACTGGATCAATAACTCTCTAACACAAATTTGTAGGTATTAGAAAGCAAGGCATTCTTTTATTGAAGTGCTGGGCACACACACAAATCATTTTGCAAAAGTGAGCTTTTTGGTTGCATGGTTACAGCCTTTATAGACCTTTCTCATTATACATTTATTATCTTTCCCCAAAAAGGCGGTGTTATTCTAATGATTTCCCAGAAATTTTTTACATAGGTTCCTTCCCCCTTGCACATGCTCTGTCAAGCAGCACTAAATGAGTCGGTGGTCTTTTGAGGGTCTCTAGTGGTTGTCCATAGTCTTCCTCACGATGTCCTCTAGTTGAATCCTCCTTCTTGAGCACAAGCCAGGGCCCCTTTTCTGATGCAACCTCTTGTTTGTTCTGCAAGCCTAACAATCAGTCCTGGAGGTGTTTGCTAGGTGTCTTCTTAACATCTGGCATGTGTAGATAGCTTTGTCTCCTTGATGTCTCCTTAGTATCTGGAGATAGCTTTGAGGGAGCTCCTGTGGTTCCTGCAGTTTCCGTACATTCCTCTTTCATCAGCAAACAGGCTATGCAGAGTTTCGCGACTCAAAGTTTCACATAGTTTCACAACCCCTAATTCAAATGTTAGCAGAACCAAAATTCATCCAAAAGTAGAAAATTTTACTTCGTGAATGTATGTTCCTACAATTTCAGTGTCTGTTGACACTGGCAGGTTAAAATTTGTTTATTAGCATTGTTCAAGCTTAATTTATGTATTCATTAAAAGTCTTACTTACTGTGTATTTAACATCCTTATACTTACTTAGCTATTTGTTACTTTCCTTACCTTAATGTGTTTTATAGCAATATAAAATAACTGTATGAAAATACATTAGGCTAAACCCTGCTCCACTATATGGTTTAATTCTTTTAATCACACTGGTGGTGTACGTGTATAAGATAGCAGAATTTATATACTTAGAGCACAGTTCTTGTCCTTGTAATGTACAAAACTTTTTTTTTTTTAAATTTTAAGTAATAAAGAATGCCAGTGAGAGCAAAATCTGTGTTTTGGCCTTCTCAGGTGTTCACAGGGATGGATATTATGCAAAACTGTTTCTGTCCTGAATGTATGCCACAACTTAATCTATGCTTCAGGGGTAAAAAAAAAAAAAATCATAGTTGCACTTAAGCCCTAAAGAAATAATGTTTAAGGAGAGGAAAAGCAGGCAGTCACAGAAGTCCAAAAAGACTTGCTTGCCATCTACTCCGTCCTGTTACTTCTGTAGATCGTGTCTTCCAGTGTATTTCTAGTGTTTAGTTTTACGTAATAAAGTTTTCACTATAAGACTGGAAAGTGTTCTCACAAATCTGATATTTTAAGCATAAAAAGGGCAAAAAAGCGCACTATTTTAAGAACTTTTTTGTACAAGTCAGCTGTACTAAAATACTCACCGTTGCTGCCTTTTAAACACCTTCACAGAGTTGTATGGGCAGTATAGGACCTAGCCAAGAGATAACCATCTCTCCCATGACTTTAATTATTTTATGTGCACTTGCTTGTTAGGTTTAGGTTTTATGTAGACCAAACCTCTGTTTCTAACCCTTGTGACAATGGCATTTGTGTGTCATGTTTCTGATTCTTGTGCTTCTTGTAATGTGGTGTTTTGTGTTGATTGGTGGTAGGTGGGGAGAGTTAGTTTTAAGAGAAGTTTTTAAGAAGAGATTTTCTTTCCTGACAAAATATTACTGCATTTTTTTCCGAACACATGCATTCTCTCTCTCACATATATAATTTTTAACATAGGATCTTCTTTCAAAAGTTTCTTTCAGTTCAGAGGGATTTGAAAGGTGGTTCTTTAATCACACTTTGTGTTTCTTCAGTTGTTGACTAATAAATGTGTTACAACATGTTTTTATAGCTACTGCAACAGCTGTTACAAAAGACAGCCCTACAAGTTTTAAGTAATTCCTCTATGGAAATCTGCACGCCGTTTCTGGGCTCCTGTTTAAGCACAGAAAACTATGACAAGAGCAGTGCACTGGATATTTGCATCTTACATAGTTGATTAGGCTTAGCAGTGCCTTACACAAAAAATAAGTCAATTTGGTCTTGCATAGTTTCAAGAACCTGCGGAAAATAATTATATACGGGTTGCATAAATATTCTGAATAGTTGCTGCTATAATAAAGAATTTTAAACATTGGAAGTTGTAGGGACCGTATCAACTCATTTGAAGTTCATTTTCCTGGAAAACAAAAATCACTAACTCTTTAAGAGGAAAGTTTAGAACAGCAACAAAACCAAAAATAATATTAGATTGTTTTTAAAGTAAGAAATCTTTATTCCTTGCTCAACCACTTCAATGTATGTAACAAGCAGCACAGAGCAGCCCTGTTTCTGCTTGTGAAACAACCATTTTAATAGGGATGTTACAGGTAAAAATAAGAGACTGCTTTGTTCTGATCCAGTGTCAAACTCCAGAGTAGAAACCTCTTGGAGTGTGTATAGAGTTACTGTAGAGTAGCTAGGGATTCCTATGTTAAACAGGTAATTTCACAGGGAACTGCTTCAGGTGTGGTTTTGTGGTTGGAGGCCTTGCAGTACAACACAGATTGCGGAGGTGACTTAAAACTGTTGTGCTTTGCCATAATTCCGATGTAGGAACAATGCTGAGGTAATAATGAATGTTCAAGAGCAGTTCTGTTTTGGGGTGATCAGCGTCACGTAGCTTTCTATTAAGTATGTATTTTCAGAATGCATTTAAGTAAAACTGCATTAAAAGCTTTACCGGAATGGCTTTAATGACTTCAGACCAGAACTGCTGCAGGACATTCATGCCATTTAAGAAGTTGTGTTTTCTTCTTATTTCCAGGTTTAGTAAATCTGCTCTAGGCTATGCACAGCAACGTGCTTACAGAAATATTTAAATATATTGCTAGAATGACTAAAGTTTGTTTTTATTTCCTTTGCGGTGCAGAATGGTGGCGAACTGCGGACACGCACTCTCGTCCCGGAACAGCTTTTTTCCCACCACTCTTGGGAATTCCCCCACTGTTTGCACCTCCTGCACAGAATCATGATTCCGCTTCATTCCACTCCAGAGGTACAGGAAAAAATAGTCGGAGTAGTACAGAAAAAGGTAATGGCTAAAGCTGTAGAGGGAGTAATCATATCAAACATCTGCACGTGCAGAAAGATGTGGAATTTGATCGTTACCTCTCATCATACTTGCCATTCCCAAACAGTTCTATAAAAATTGATCCTGTTAGATAAGCATGAGACATACAAGTATGGGCTTTCAATAATGAAATACTCTTTCTACTAATATCTGCCCCCCCGTCCCCCCTCTTTTCCTTAGGTAGTTTTTCTGGGACTGAGTGGCAGCGAAGAGTTTTCTTTTAAAGCTTGTGTTTTGATTTAGGAGGCCTTGTACTTCTGTTGTGAATACCTTTCCTCTGCATATAAGAAGCAGGCATCAGTAGTTTGTGGGGGGGTGGCAACGGCTACAGGATCTCAGTGGAAATAGCCCAGTGACATTAGACATTGGAACGTTTTCTTGCGTTTCAAACCAGTATATTACGTATTGGTGTCACGTGCCTTTTGAAGAGGTGAGGTGTCTTTGTTCGATGTTTGATAGGAGGTTTGCTCAGCTTAGAGGAGAGGAGCCTGAGGGGTGGCCTCAGGGTTGCTGCCTGTGGCTTCCTTGTGAGGGGGAGTGGAGAGGGAGGTGCTCTTGCCTCTGGCATCCTGTGGCAGGGGATGGCTTACAGCTGCACCATGGGAAGGTCATGTTGCCTGTTAGACAAATGATGTAAACTGGAGGGTGAGCAAGCTTGCCAGGGAAGTGGTCATGGCCCCAGGCCTGTCTGTGTTCAAGAAGCTTTTGGACAGTGCTTTTAAATCTGTTGTTTAATATTTTAAATTTGTCCTGTGTGGAGTCAGGAGTTGGACTTGGTGATCCTTGTGGATCCCTTCCAACTCGGGGATATTCTGTTCTGTGATTCAGTGGTGTACAAAGCTACTTTTTTCAAGTTTTGGTAGGTTTACCACCTGATTTTAGAATCAATCTGATAATAGTCCTGGGATTGCAGAGTAACAAGTTTGTGTGGTTAGGGCTATTTTTTTAGAAAACAACAGTTGTCTTGACAGATAAGTAAGGAGGCTTGAATGTGGACGTTATTTCAAATAGCTTTCCCAAACACACCCCCCCCCCC